CTAGAAAACTAGAATAGGGTAGAAAGGATCTTAATTCAACACAAACACAGACACACCAATGCATCCTCCCCTTTTTTTTTTTTTTTTTTTTTTTAGGACCAGGGGTGTCCAACTTTGGCAACTTTTAAGATTTGTGGACTTCAACTTCCAGAATTCCCCAGCCAGCATGGCTGGCTGGGGAATTCTGGGAGTTGAAGTCCACAGGTCTTAAATTTGACAAGACTGGACACTCCTGCTTTAGGCTGTTCTTCCGCCTCAAAATTCAGAAATGGTATTGGGAGTTCACTTTACCTGCTCCAAACAACAGCAATTTGGTTTGTGAGAAAGTCCCTTGGCAGAGAATAGAGTTGGTTGAAGAGGTAGCCTGAGAGTTGATGGAATTGAGCCTCTCTTGTTTCCTTCTCACTTACTCCGAGCCTGTTTTAAACTGCAAAAACTCAGGTCAAGGCACAGAGCCCAACCTGATAGCCGGCCATTTGTGCTTAGGCCAAGTGACTATTAAGCGCAGGACTAAGTTGCTGAGTTAAAATTTCTGACCTCAGGCTTGGCTTGTGGAAAAGTAGAACCACGTTCATCACCACACTGTATTTTGTTCACCGTGGAAAATGGGACACGTTCCAAATTTGACCTTCAACCTGAATGCAAGGGGACAAGGTACCCACCAGCACCCATTTGTTTCTGCCCTAAACGAATGGCAAATTTTAGGAGGAGGACCGCAGCTTCCAAATTATTCGTGCTTTTATCTCGGAAGACCCACCGGTTTTACCGTCAGCTTTCTCCAAGCTGGAGAGCAAAATTCCCACAGCGGAGGCTCGAGCCCATCTGACAACACAGGAAGAGTCTGCCATATCCCATTTTTCCTTACGCAGTTGCATAGAGTGGCTTACTTGTAAGAAACTCATGCTAACCAAGTACCATACTTCCTCCTGCTGCACAATTTAATTAGAGCATAAATTCTAGTTCAAGAGAAACTGGCCCCTTTTCCGTTGGGAGCGAAATTAGCAAACTACGTTCTCTACTTATCTTTAAATTGCCAAGAATGCAACTTCAGGCTGCCATCCTTGTTATTTTTTCCCCATCGGGGTGATGGTGTTAAAAGAAAAACCTTCCACATCTCCAAGAACGGAGATGGAAATTCTCAACCTTGAAACTCCAGCTGATTTGGGGGGGACGCCAGAAAAAGGGGTCCCCGCTGTGCAACCGCTTGGGGGTAATCTCAAGCACAGTATGAATTCTGGGATTTGACTTTAGATTCCCTTTGGCTCCAAGAGTGGGCAATCTGAGGTCCTGAGGTTACATCTGCTCGAAAGCCATTTTCTGCGGCCCCTGGAATCTCCTTTAATGGCAGCTGTGCAAATGGGCAGCATGAACGGCGGCCATTGCTAAAATGCACAGTATTATGCATTTAGTTAGTTAGTTAGTTTTAAAAGCGTCTTCTCATCTAGATGCAAAACTCAAAAAGAATCAAAAAAATCCCCCTTTTGCCCATAGCAGCCCTGGCTGCTTAGAATTTGCCCATCCTGGTTTTGTTCATAGCAAACCGAAGCCCTTTTTTTTTTTTCAAAGCGCTTCTGGGCTGCACTGGGCTTATAAGAGGTGCCTACACTGATTTGCAGGTGTTTCTCCTATGGATACAGAGCTGCAACGTGATCCTGAGTTATGAAATAAAAATTGGTATGCAAAATAAATGACACAGGTGAGAGAGAGCAAAACCCACCATCTGTCTCTCTGCATGAGTTCCTGCACTAGAAACCCCTGAAGAAGGATTCACACAGAGCTGCAACAGGGAACCTCTGGGTAGGAGAGATGTCAAGCCAGGTCAGGGGTCTTCCAACTTGGCCCTTTTATGACTTGTGGACTTCAACACCCAGAATTCCTCAGCCAGGCACGCGTGCCTGGCTGAGGAATTCTGGGCGTTGAAGTCCACAAGTCATAAAAGGGCCAAGTTGGAAGACCCCTGAGCTAGGTCAAGTATTCCCCACAACCCACAATTCTGTTGGTCACTCATCTGTTGTGCAAGATGTAATTATTAATTTTTAAACTTTTTCCCTTTACGTAGGAAGCATATCCACTTTAGGAATCCCTTTAAGATTGATCAAACCTCACTCAGAATTTGAGGAGGCTCTGGAGAATAAAACATCTGCAATAAATACAATAAGTGCCATGTCTCTTTAAACAAGGTGACATGATGTTTTTAATTATTTTAATTTTCTCAATTCTTAATTAAATTCTTAATTATCTAGAGGTTACTAGGTGACTCAGGGGAAATCGTAGTTGGCATCTATTAGCATTGTTGTAGCATTATTACTCGTACACTTGTTTATTAGTGTGCTTGTTCCTTTATGAGATGACCAGAGGGCAAAACAGAAATGGGAATCATTTCATTCAGTTACATACATTTATGATTTCAATGGCTGACCTTGCTTGATCTCAACGAGTTAAAACAGGGTCAAATCTGGTTATGCTGGGATAGGACACCACAAGGAGATGCCAAGCTGCAAGTTAGACCAATGTTTAAAAAGAAATCCTGCAAAAGGCAATGGAAAGTCACTTCTACATTGTCACCCCAAAATAACACAGAAGTATCCATAAAGTCAGGGGGTATCTAATCCAACTCAAAAGAAGAGTAGTGTATGGTAGGCAGCCATCTTGAACTTAATTCCCTCCAGATGTGTTTCATTACAACTGGTTGTCATCACCCTTTATCTAGGGCTGAAAAGAAGTGAAGCCTTACAGATCTGGGTGGTTCTCAAGTGTGACAGAGGCTGTCATTGTGCCCAAGGCCTTGACAATAAGGACAAGGGGAGGAATTTAAAACTCCAGGCGGTTCTGAGGGTCAGAGGAAGCAAAATGAAAAGCGGGGTGTCTTTTGTAGAAGAAAGCGTGAGAATTTAAGACGGCAGAGACACGGGAATGAAAACGTTCAACCAGGATGCGCAAACGATTCCGTTTTCTGAGACGGGTTTGCACATTTTAAAAGGCGTTTCCGAGTGGTAACCGATTCCGAGTGGAGGGATTCAATGAGCGTACATTCATAGGTGCTCTCCAGCCTTGAAGAGCGGACTTGCTAATTCAACATCTGGTTTTCAAGTTTGCAACATCTGCTGAAGGCCCGAGCGTTCGTACTCACAGGACAGACTCTGCGGCATTGATGCTTCAGATGTCCCAACGAATGCATCCTTCAATGAAACTGGCATTTTTGCCTATTTGCTTTGATCCACTGATCATACTCAGTGTCTTGTTTGCAAAAAAAACCTGTTATCGAAGAATGCCTCCAAGTTGTCCCCAAATCTCACACCCATCTATGTTGTACAGGAAGTTGCTTTACATCAAGGTGTAACTGCATGATATTTGGCCACTGAAAATTAACCACCTGAGCTCCTATTCTGATTCCAACCGGTAGAAAGACAATGATTGTAAAAAGCTACAGAAAAACAGAAAGGATAACGTGATCTTTGGATAACGTAATAATCAAATTCACTCAGTTTTCCTCTATCCCAATAAAACATGGTTTACTTGTGGTCCACAACTAAACCCGGAGGACTTTGGATCCAAGTCAGGATGAAAAAGAAACGCAACAAAAGGTAATTGGTTACTACAAGTACAGCCACCTGTTTGCATCATCTCCAAGAAGATGATCCAAGCATTTAGAGCTGGAATGACAATCCATTTTTCAGCTGCAATACTCGAATGTTCCAATTTTTAATCTTGCCAAATGCCGCAAAACTGATCCCGCAACTTCGATTGCACCAGAAACTCACGCAAAGGCAGAGGGTACCTTGAAACTGGAAATCAGAGACTGACTATATATAACTATAGCCCCATTTCGAGTTGTCAAAAATGAACAGTACCTCTGGAGACAGACGGCGGAGGATATTCATTTAAATCTTCCCCAGTTTAAAAAAAAAAAAAAAGAACAAAATGAGGATTATTAACCCAAACTAAGACAACTCCCTGCAAGTAGAAACAACGTAGATCAAAGAAAAAACTGTACCTCTGCCCGACATTTGTTAGTTTTCTATTTGCAGAAACTTAAAAAAAAACAAAACCCAAAAAAACCCTAGGGAGGCATTTATCTGCAATACAATCGGATGTAACTTTCCGTTGACCTCTTGCTGTTACTTCTCCTACGACTGATTCGGTTAGGGTCCCTTGAAACAGAAGCCAAAAGCTGGAACGAAAGGAGAACCCGGGTTGAATCAGGAAAATGAACTTTTTCCCAAAGCAGAGGTCCTCCTGAAAAGGAGAAGGGACAGATTCCACCAGCATGAAAACTCTGGCTGGTTCCTCCATGTCAGGCACATCCCTGCTCTCAAATACCCCAATGGCTTGATTAAAGAGGGGAAAAAAAATAGATAATCCCAAATAACAAAAGTCTCAGAACTCCCTGAGATGGGAAAACGAAGTCTGTCTTATGAAGAGAGGGTGGCTGGCACCTCTATAAACCTGCGTCCCCCTCCATCGCGTTGGGTGCCGCCTTTGTAACTACGTGCTCCTTCGGAAGGACACCCTTCCCTGGTGGGGAAGGCAGTACCAGAATTGGGCACTCTAGAAAAAGGCAGCTGCTTCAAGGTTCCTTGCCTTCCTCTCCGTTGTATCGAGCAGCTTGCCTTCCTCTCCGTTGTATCGAGTTAAAAAACCAGCACAGAGAAAGGGGAACATCTGCGTGTCCTGCTGGTCCAGCTTGCTTTGATGCAGGCAGGGAACAACCCAGGATTGTGCAGGTGACCCAGGATGGGGCCTGCCACCTTAGAAGAGGTGGCTTCCGATTGCTTTCAAGGCTGGCTGGCTGGCTGGCTGGCTTCCCCTCCCAGTTCCAAACCACCTGGCTGGAAAGACAGGGCAGGCGAGTGGGAAACAGTACCAGAGAGCGCAGATTGCAGCTGCTACCTGAGGTTGATATAGACACACCATCGGAATCTCCTGCGGACACTCTTGGGTCTTTGAAAAGGAAAAAAAAGTGGGCGAGCTGGGCCGGGCCAACTGCCCCAATGCCGGGGTCAGACCACATTGTCGGGCGGGTTGTGGTTCGTCTTTTGATGCTGGCAGTTCCTTTCGTTCAAGAGGCCAATCATCTCGTTGTTGGACAGGGTGCTCCCTTTTTCTGCCAAGGAGGGGTCCGCTTTGGGGGGGCTCCCGTCGGGGGACTGGGGACAGCTCTCCAGGCGGGAGGCCATGAGACCGTTTTGGTACTGGAGGCGCGTGATCTGCAGGGCAAAGAAAGAGAGAGAGAGGGTGAAATTCAGTGTGAAGAAGCACAATTTAAATCACGGTAATCAAACATTATGATCAACCTATGATCGGTCACCTAGCCACCATTTGAAGTTAGGAGGGACTTCGAAAATGGGACTTACAACCTCGATTTGAAGTTCTGATGTCTGGGCCCACCCTTGTGGTCACCTAACTACACTTTGGGTGCTCGATTTATAGAACATAGAATAGGTGGGGGGAAATGGAATTTTGATTTTGCTTTACCGATTAGACGGATTTGTTGTTGTAGAAATGGCTGGTTTAAACTATGATGTAGAAAACTCGAGGTTTGATGTTAATGCCTTATTTAAACTGCACCAAAAGGGAATTGGAAGTCAACGCCTTTTCTTTCTTTCTCTTTCTTTCTTTCTTTTTCTTTCTTTCTTTCTTTTTCTTTCTTTCTTTCTTTCTTTCTTTCTTTCTTTCTTTCTTTCTTTCTTTCTCTCTCTCTCTCTCTCTCTCTCTCTCTCTCTCTCTCTCTCTTTCTTTCTCTTCTTCTTTTCCTCACTCCTCCCTTCCCTATTTTTCCTACTATTTGCTTTAGTATTTTTTTTGTATGTTATAACATAAACTAATAAAACTGTCCAAACCGAGAGACTTATTCAGGTCTCTACGATATATGGAAAGTGAAACTAAAGTAAAACTTGGATAATAGGATGCAGTTTAATTTAACAGCAATTAATTCTCAATTGTGGTCCTAAGTCGAGGATTACCTGCATTGCAGGCTAACTCTGCCTACATATCAGGAGTTCGATCCTGACCGGCTCAAGGTTGACTCAGCCTTCCAACCTTCCGAGGTCAGTAAAATGAGGACCCAGATTGTTGGGGGCAAGAGGCTGACTCTGTAAACCGCTTGGAAAAAGTGGTATATAAGTCTAAGTGCCGTCTAAGTGCTACCTGTGGTCCAGACATTCTGAAAGATGTCAGAGTTTCTCTCGGGACACTCTCCACTTATTGTGCCCTGAGACTGACACTCATGAAGCTCCAGTGGACACATCTTCAAGATAGAAGCAGCCCCACCTGGGCCCAGCCACCACTGAAATAATAATTGAGTCAATATAGAAAACCAGCTTGTTAAGAAGGCAGCTTTCTCTGTTTTTAAATAAACCTGCTTTTGTGGTATTTGGATGGATAAAACCAAGAATTAGTTCAGATTAACTTTGGGGAGGCTTAGGCCTAAGGCTCACCTTGACATACTGGAGATCGGTAAGAGCACGAACACTGAAGTCTGAGAAGTACTGGGAGCTCATGTTGACGTTAAGCTGGTTGTTGCTGCCAGTGAAATTGGAAGAGGTGGAGTCGGTGCGCTCGTGGTAGCAAAGAGACGCCGAGCGATTCAGATTACTCATATGAGATGGAGAACGCATTTCTGAAACTAGACAGAGAGAAAGAGGATCCAGGAATCAGGTTCTACCTATGTTCCTCCATTTTTTTAAAATTCTTTCTTAAAATGGCAACTCTTACTCTGTTTGGGCTGACCACAAAATAGCTAAGCAAAGCTGGATCACTTTTACAATGCTGCTGAGGACACCTCAGGAACCTGACCATAAAGACACCAGGCGTTGAGGTGGACATGTGGAGTCTTCCCCTAAAAAGCTTTCTCCCAGAGGCTCATGGGAACGACATCTCCTCTTCCAGTTTTTTTCTCCATAACAATATCAAGTAAATGAGGCTGACTGGCCAAAAATCACTTAGGGAGCTTCTGCAGCTGATCTTAAACCTCACTGAATTCATGGGCCCACATTTTAGGGTCTAAGGATCCCAAAACATAGTTTGGAATGGCATGTGAGGAACACATCCCTTCAAAGTCGGTGGTGCAGGACAAAATTTAAGTCCGGCCTCACTTAAATGGTTTCTCTATATTTAATAGGGTTCTTGTATTCCATACTAAAAATTACAATTGAGTGGTGAACTTTTGAAGAGTCTCTGGGGCTGGTTCCTCATCGTATCACTCCAACTCTGTTTGAAACCCCTCTTTTTTCAATGCAGAAAAAGATGAAGAAACGTGTCTGGCACACAAACTATTTGATTGTATATCATCTTCTTCTAAGTCCAGTTCATACATGGATAACCTCAGAAGAATATGGGATATCATGTGTGGTGGACATCACTTGCCTGCCATCATGTTATCATGTCTTCTGCCAGGGGTCTATGACTTCAATGCAAGTGCTCCAAAAATCTATGTGCTCCAAAAATATGGGCAGAATTGCAATTTTAAAACAAAACAAAAACAGGTCAACTGTGCCTCCTAGCTACCACCCAGATTAACTGCATAGAATGTTTCTGTGCAAACAATAGCCCATCCTAGCACAGGAGCATTCAGGGAGCAGCCGCAATGCGTTGGGACTTCAACTTCCAGAATTCATAGCTGGCAACAACCTTGGACCGGCTGGATCGGAATTCTGGGAATTGAAGTCCCAAGACAGCTGATGGATGCCAAGCTGGGGAAGGCACTTTTAGTTGGCTTTGGCATGGCAGATAATTTTCACTGAATACATTGAATAAACATGTTAATAATGAATTAATAATTTAATACACATTTGAGTTTGGGACTGAAAGGAGAGCTAGCGAGGCATCTTGGCATTTTCCTGGGCAATTCTATGGCCGACGCTCCCGCATCGCAACCTGTGCCCCCGAAGTCCAAGCAAAGCATCAATGCGCAGTGCTCACCCCCGAGCATCAAAGGCCATTTTTTACCTGACAGCTTGGAATGCAAGGACCCTCGCTGTATAATGGACTGGTGCTGGGATCTGTCCGGCGGTGCTACAGGCACATAGGCACACAGGATGGAGGAGGAGAAGGAGGTGGTGGTGATGGTGGAACCGGACAAAAGAGAGAGGCAAAAGGAGAAGAAAAATCAACAATGACATTGCCATGCATGTAATGACAATATTATAGGTAGTTCTCAACTTACAGTCGTAATTGAGCCCGGAATCACGGCTGTAAGTCAAGCAAAACTGTTCAGCAGATCATCACATGATTGAGCCTGGTTTTATTACTTTGTTCCCTGTGATGGTTTGGCCAATATGGGGGTGGTAAAGCAAACACTACCTGCCCCCAGAAGCGGTGAATGCTCCAACACTGGAAGTTTTTAAGAACAGACTGGATACTCATTTGTCTGAAATGGTGTAGGGTTTCCTGCCTGAGCAGGGGGTTGGACTAGATGACCTCCAAGGTCCCTTCCATCGTAAATAGGTGCCCGTTGCCAGCTGCTCAGATTTTGGTCACCTGAGCGTGGTGACGCCATGACGGTTGCGCAAGGACAGGTCATAAGTCACCTTGTGCAGTGCTGTTGCAACTTCGAACGGTCGCTAAGCAAACGGTTGTAAGTTGGGGACTATCTGGACTTTCTGGCTGCAATTGAAGTTTTTAAGAAGAGACTGGACGGCCATTTGTCCGAAATGGTATAGGGTTACCTGCCTGAGCAGGGGGTTGGACTTGATGACCTCCAAGGTCCCTTCCAACTTTATTATTATTATTATTATTATTATTATTATTATTATTATTATTATTATTATTATTATTATTATTATTATTATTATTATTATTATTATTAAGTGAACACCGTGGTGGTTAAGTGAACGCCACCAGGGTAAAATGAACCCATTGTCCACAATGGGTGCTTTTTTTTTTGCCGGAAATCAGAAGTAACCATTGGTTTCCAGAAAAAAAAAGTCCTAAATCACTGTCATATGACCATGGAGCTGCAGGAGATGAGCCCCAAGGGAAGGGTCAAACGCACCATCAGTTTGGAGTTGCTACACCCCCATTAGAGATGGAAGTCCAGCCCCCCCCATGAAGTCTGTTGATGCTTATCTATGTTTATCTCCACCAGTTTGCCTTGAGCATTGACAGGTCAAAATTTTGGTGCGCCAGGAGCGTGAAATAGGGTGTCAGATGCCCATCTTCACTTTGTTTGAAGATCACTAGCAACTGCCATAACCAGGAGGGAGGGGGCCCTGGGGAGGGGAAGAGTGCTGGAGGCGTGAAAGAGGGCTGTGGGAATTTGGGGGAGTATGGACACGGACAGGAACCGGAGGGGGCAAACAGAGCCATCTTCCTGCCTTCAAGGACGCCGGCCCTGGGAAAGGAATTGAACAGCGGCGCCTAAGGCGCTGGGTTGAAAGGCTGAATGTCGACCACTAGATGGCAGAAACCTAACATTTAATGTTACTGAAACCAGAAGAATCAACTATTGTCAAACAGGACCTTGCAGAAACCTCTCATAGGGCAGGTGTCTGCAACCTTGACCACTTTAAGACTTGTGGACTTCAGCTCCCAGAATTCCTCAGCCAGCATAGCTGGCTGAGGAATTCTGGGAGCTGAAGTCCACAAGTCTTAAAGTGGTCAAGGTTGCAGACACCTGTCTTAGGGCAGTTTTATTTGTCCTGTGTGGTTTTCAACCCAGTCCTCCCACTGCATTAAAAAGCTGGTTCTGACTGGGTCAAGCCAAGCTGAGAGTATCGTCTCTCTATTGCTCACTGGTGATGCAGCTGCTCCTCTGGACCTACGGGCGTCTTACTTTGGGACCCACGTTCCTCTGCCAACTTCAATTATTTACGAGCTTGATTCTTTTTCCATTTTCATTAAAAACAGGCAGACAAGGGGGCTTAGGGCTTGAAAACCAGGCACAAAGAGTGGAGGGAGGGGAAAGGTTACCCCCCCCC